CTCCCTTGCAGTGGTGGCCGATGGCGATCCACAGCAAGGCTGATTTATGTGGACAACAGGTTTGGGCGGTCGGGCGCGCCGGGGGCTGTTACCCTCAGCTGCTCCCTCCCTTCAAAGTGATGAACAAATATCAGGGGTCAGGAGAAACCTCAGCTCCTCGYTGAGGCGGCCGCGGGTGAGCAGCTGTGCCCGGTGCCCCATCCTGCACAGGAACCACTTTAGGTCCCTCTCTGTCTACCCCTTATCCCTATGTATCCCTATGTATCCCTATGTATCCCTATGTATCCCTATGTATCCCTATCTATCCCTATATCTATCTATCTATCTATCTATCTATCTATCTATCTATCTATCTATCTATCTATCTCTATCTATCTATCTATCTATCTATCTATCTATCTATCTATCTATCTATCTATCTATACCACACTGGAGCAGTAACTTTCTTTGGGAACTTTTCTTCCTTCTCTTTCTGCAAGAATATTTTTCATTCTACTTGAGAAGGAAGAAAATTTGACTTAAGAAGGTTTCCCCCTCTGCCTTTTCTCTGGCCTACTGTTGCTTTATCTTAAGCCTATTCTGTGTGGTCCCTGGGTTTAATATTAATTGAAAGAGCCTATCTGTTCCTGTCTCCAGCACGCACTTGGACACACTGCAGAAACTTCAATCATCACAGCCCCTTACAACTTGTTCCTTTCCAAATTCAGGCACAGTCCTGTATTCTTCCACAGCAATTCCCCCTTTTTGCTTTCTTGTAAGCCAGTGCTTCAAGTCCTTCACAAGTTCACCTTCTCAGACCTCTTTCCATAGCTTAACCCACCCTGTATGAAACACGCTGCTCTTCTCCAGACCTCTGCCCTTTTGCTGCAGAATAGTGCTAAATATTGGCAACCGGTGTTTAAATATCATCATCATCAAAAAAAAAAAAAAAAAAAAAGTCCTCCTTTAAGTGTCACAGCGTTTCCTTGAAAGCTATATTCAATGTTCCCATTTACAGTGCTCTGCATTTTCACTGCCTTTTTGCCCACACGGGTACAAAACACCATGTTAGTCCTTTGATGAGACATGCAGGCTCCAAATCCAATCCCGTGGGTTTGCAAAATCCGCTCATTCAGCGCCTACAAGACTCGGATTTACTCCTTTGGCTCCCAGTTCACTCTACCCAGCTGCACTGCCCTGCTCAGACTGTTTTCCCTGGGTTATAAAGGTGKTTTTTTGCCCCTTTAGTCCCTTCAGCAGGTTCCAAAACAACGTGGATAACAATTCAGGGGGTTCTTTTCTGTCAAGACCATTTACACAGAGAGAGAAAAAATACTGATCTCCTGGAGAAACTCAAGCTGACAACCCTGCAAGATTTGCCACCTAAGAATCACCCGTTACCAACCACTGGAGCGGGATGCCAGACCTCTCAGTGATGGTTTTGGGGACCTCCAACCCTGTGGGATTTAACAGGGAGCTAAGAGGGGACCAGGGGCCAAAAGGACCTTGTGGATCTGGCCCGGGATGGTCCTACAGGTCCAATGATCTGCAGAGCCCTGGGCTGTTTGTTCCAGCTCTTGAGGTTGGCAGGGAATTTCTCAYGGGTTAACAGAGCACCGGGGACAAGGAAAAATCCTGGTGGCCCTTCCTATGGCCTCTGCATGCAGCAGTGGTTAGCAGGGTACTGCGCCACTCTCACTAGCAACAGCTCCAAAAAAATCACCTCTCCATCTATAATAAATGATATAAAGGGAACAAAGTAGACTAGGAATAGAGCTGGCTGATCCGCCCGGATTTTGAATTCCCTCGGCCCCCACAGGTTGAAAGTGCCATTTTATCAGCGTTACTGAATTTACTGTGATATATTTTTCCTTTCATGTAGTTTACTTAATCCTCTGGATTTCTGCTGCTGCAGAAAGAGGGATAGGTCTTATAAAAACAATGGGGGACAGATCTTGCAAGTCAAATGACTTTGCTGAGCTCCTTCACACATGCAGAAAACCCTTCAGAAGTGCATGCTCTTGAAAGCATGACAAGATTTCTGCTTACGGAGAGCAGCCTGGCCACCGCTCATGGAAGCACAGCCTCTTCTGAGTGGAAAATCCACCAGAAAGAGCTGCAAGTGCCTCAGTGCACAGGGAGGAGAGGGGGGATCTGTGCACGTGGAGCATCCCCGAAGCCAAGCTCGGCATTCCCATTAGCCATGCAATCATCCTCTTTTGGGTAACAAGAGAACATCAGTGGACTTTAAGGGAAGAAATATTGTTGTTTTTTTTTTAAAGGAGCAGAACTTGTCTTTCCATCTGCCTCTCTTCCTCCAACCTCTGCAGAGCCAGTTGGTTAAATGCAAAAAATSAGATGACCGAACGTGGCCGTTCACAGCTGGGGAGAGCGCCGGGAGGTCACAGCTGGCCCAGGGATACTTCAGCCAGAATTATGTGTGAAAGCATTTGGGCTTCACAAACAGCTTGTCGGAGAAAAGTTTTGCCCAAATTGGATGGACCCCCTTGGTGGAGCAATTCCCTAATAAGACAGATTCATTATTAAGGTGTGGAAGATGAATTTTTAAGGAAAGTTCAGTATTAGAACTCATCACCTAAGTAAGAGCAAAGCTCAGCCTTGATAATAAATCCTGTATCTCTGCTCATAACTGCCACTTTGAGAGCACTCCTCGGTCATCCATGATGACAAGACCACTGGACATTCATCAGGACAATTTTCTTTTGCCTTGCTTCTCATAGCAGACTCCTAAAAATCACTTGCACAGAGACTTCTTTGTGCTCCTGGATTAAGAAATTAAAGATCACACCTAGTCAGGAGAAAACTCCAGAGGTTTCTATATCTGGCAAGCAGGCTGCGCCAGAAGGAAGGGGAGAGCAAGCGTGGAGATATGCTCCTCCGAGCTTTCCAAGCGAAAAGCTGACCAAGGGAGGAGCTTGCTGCTGTGTCAGGGAAATATAAGTCTGAAGGTTGCATTGGCTCCCTGAAGGATTAATTTCATTAGCTCATTAAAACATATTAAGGCTGGAGTGATATAAAAGCATCATCTGTGCATGGCTGAAAGAAGTTCAAGCTAAAAAAATACCCCTTCAAAAGCCAAACCACAACAGCCCAGAAAGCCTAAATAAAAAAAGAGTATGCAAAAGAATATTGAACATGGGGGGACATTTATAATTAGTCAACAATGATTTGCATGACCTGGTTTTAATTCTTGTGCCTTTGAGCTACTGGGCAGCCAGGTATAGCAGGTATAGCGTATTGGAAAACACGACAGGAACGGGAATCAATGAGTTTCTTCTGTCTAACCACAATATCATTCTCACTTCATTTACTGCTTAGTGGGAAGGCATTTCTGTGGCCCAGGAATCAGCTCTTTCTAAATGGATGAGCCTCAAAGTTCAGCATTTTGGAGGTTTAAACCGAGCTGGAGTTTGCTCATCCATAGCAGCTTGGGCTGCAGAAAATCCCATGTCTGACCTTTTAATACTGTCTCCTCTCCAGCTTGAAAAGGAGAAGTCACATGGTGAGAGCACTGGAGTAGAGGTCTACACGCTAACATACATCATCTCAGGCTGGAAGCACAACTGAAAAACTGCCAGAAAAAAATGCCTTTGGCTTCCTAACTGCCTATGGGAGATGGCAGTTTAGTATGGGGATGTGATAAGCAGGAGAGAATGGTGGTATGAACCTTTCCCAGATGCCAAATGAAAGATTAAAAGATTCTTTTTTATCTTTTTTTTTTTTTTTTTGATGTGAAGGAATTGGGGTAGGCAAACAAAAGACAATCAAAATGATGCAAATCAATAAATAAATAAATAGAGATTAAATTGGGGCAGCAAAGACGAGGCCATTGAGAGAATCCTCGACACCAGCCAGGAAAGGAAATTCTGAGTATTGGCAGCGTTTGGCACCAAGCCAGAGGAGCACCCAAAGTTGTGCAATGTGACTTAAGGATAAAATCACCTCGCTGGGCACTGGAAAGCTCCGGCCAGACAGGGCTGCACTGCACTATTAGTCAGCTGCTGGCCCACAAAATCTTTTAATGCCATTCACCATAGCGTGTGTGCTTTAAGGGGCTTTAGAAGCAGCGGTAGGAGTGGACGCAGGAGGAATAAATATCTAGTAACCAGGCGCACACGTGCATCTAGGCGTGCCTCGGAGCTGCCCTCCTTATTTGTAACGCCAGCAATGATTTAATATACAACTCCTGAAGATGTGAAAGCATAAGTGAAAATACACAACTATTTCAGGGGAAAAAAACCCAGCATTTTGTGGAGCAAAATCTTCACTTTAAATCTACGTAGACACATACATTATACTTGTGTCGTATAATACATAAAATTCTAAAATATGCACATAGATATATAGTTAAACAAAGCAATATAGATCAGGATAAACATTTAACATATACTTGAATAATGGGGCGGGAGGGGAAGAAGGGGGAGGGAAGCCCCCCTCTTTTAGAAAAATACCAGTGCCAAAAAATATTCCTTAATGTGATATCAAATAGAAATCTGGCAAACAGAAAATTCTTTGGGGAAAAACGCAGAGCCACTCGCCTTTTAAAATTTTGCACTGCCTCTGGAGCAAGGATATAGCAAGAGCCCAGCACTAGCCTTCCTCCCTGCCTGTACCCTGAAAATCATTCCCACCTGTGGGGCAGAGAGAGGAAACGAAAGGAAGTCGAAAATTATGTTTTTCATGAGCTAATCCCAGGAAAGTGACCGCTCAGGTTTCCGCGTCTCTTGGCAATAATAATTTAAACGAGGACAGCAATCTTTTGTTATTTTTTGCACAGTTGGACTGCTCGCTTCCAGATAGCAGGCACTGAAATGGCAATTTGAAGGGGAGAGCACGGCAGCGATCGATGGGTATTTGGGGGTCCCTGCTCCGCATAGCTCAGCACCGTCTGCTCCAAACACACAGCCTGGGCACAAACCTCTTTGGACACCCCGAAAACAAGCAAGACCATTGAGCCAAAACAAAGCAAAAAGGAAAAGAAAAGATCACAACTACTGTACCTTTACTTTGGGGAGGGTTCTGACTTCTGTCTCGGAGAACATTAATCTGGTAGACAGCTCCATAAGGCTCAAAAAGTTCTTTTAACTCTTTTTCCGACCATGAACGGGGAATCTGTCCAACAAACATCTTAATGGCATCTGGGTCTGGTTGGTCTGAATGATCCAAAGCTCCATTCATCTTGTTAGCTGTGCCGTTACTAGAGAGTGGGAAGGAGACGAAAAGAGAAGGCAAGTTAAGAGCTCGCAGTTCCAACGTGCAGCCGATGCAGAAGATGATCTCAGTGGGCACAAAACAGGAAAAAAAAAATCAGCTTTTAATTAATAGCACAAGTATTAGGAAAAAAACAAAAAAAAGAAACACAGCACAAGTACATTTTTCATCGAGTCTGTTTTTCTATGCAGGCTGCTGCTTAATAGCATTATATAAGAAGAGCGCTGCACACCGCAAACCGGTACGTTCGCATCTTAAGCGCAGTTGCAAATAAGTGAAGATTTCTTTCCATGGCTGCTGTAAACAGAACCGCAGTGAATTCTCCCTAAACCGGCTCCTGGCAGAAATAAGGCAGCGCTGGGGTGTGCGCGCGCGTGTGTTTTGTAATAAAGTCACATGAAAGGAATATGAAACACTTGGCAATCTGTCAGATGACTAATGCAAGATGCCAGCGATGAATTTGCAGATTGTGTGAAGCAYCCATGTGTGCATCAAATTAGCCCGATATTGCCTAGAATGGAAAACACTCCGGCTATGCGGCTGGCCGCTGCCGATCCGTTGCCTACGCTCTAGCGAAAGAAAAAGCAGGCTCCAGTTTAAATCATGTAGGGTTTTTTTTTTGTAACTGGGCACCAAAAGCACAATTCAAGAGGAGAAGGCGGTGAAAAACTGTTGACTTTGCGCAGAAAATGTGGCTTCAAAAAGTTTTGCTCCATGCAGAGGATACCAAATGCTTAAGAGTTTTCACACCCCATAAATTGTTGCCCTATCTGATCTCCAGATGTATATTTAAGTTTAAGGCAACTCTCCTCTTTGGCAGCACTTAGAGGCAAAAAATAACCTGCTCTGGGAGAAAAGGGGCATATTATGACTAAGGMAGGGTTTACCCTTGTCAGAGTCATATTCTTGTAAGAAAAATAACTCACCTAAGAACCAAAAAAAGGAAAAAAAAAAAAAGAACTTATGTCACTACTGATAATTTAGGGCACTCATTTCCACTAATTATTTGGCTAAGGATTCCATTAATCCTGATTATTTTTGCATGCTTCATCTTTGAGCAAGAACAAAGCACAACTACTTGAACGTTCCCTCGAGTACCAGATTGCAGCCATACAAAGACAAGAGGCAGAGAAGAAAATACGCAAGAAAATGATAAATCCAATAAGCCTGATCCTCAAAAAAATCTAAAAAAATCTATTAAAAAAAATTCTAAAACATAGCAAGAAAGCCTCCGAAACAACAAGTGATTTGAAGAATGATCCTCAATGGCTGCAACATTCACGACTGTTGTAGGCATCTATGTGGCCTTTATATCTCTAGGAAACCACCCTATTTCTTTTGCAATCTCCTGTTTGTTTATGTAAAACCCAGTGAATTAAAAACCTCACCAGTGACAAAAATAAAATAGATGTATTGCAACCATAGCTTAAAATAAGCAAAGGAAATGCTCCCACTCTATTTTGGATCTGCAAAGAGAAGGAGGGTAGAAACATARCTGTGATTCTGCTGTCTTTCTCCTATACTCATTTGGCTCTTTTTCTTCAGAAATCAGCTTGGCTTCTCCTTGCCTGTGTTCTCTACTTTGTTTACATTAAAAAATGAATTCTGAGCTCATTTTTAAATTATGCCCTTCATCGCTTCTCTCCCTCAGATCCCTAGTTTAACATATGTACACACAATTACTACCTTAGCCCCAAATGACTGCAAAGATCACATTTAATAGCAAACAGTAAGTCTATTCCTTGGCTTTTCTTCTTGACCTGAGCCACCTTTCCTGCCAGGTGTGCCAAGAGCACCACAATTTCCATTGCTAACGAGGCAATTTTTGGGAAGCCACAAACCTAACTCATCTAACTGTTTGCTCACATTAATTACTCAGCTACTATTAAGTTCCTGTTTTGAGTGAAGGGTTTAGGCACAGGCCTAGAGCTATTCTAATGCAATGAAAATACTTAACCATGTTCTTCCCTGCAGCGGAACTGGAGTGGCAATAAATTGCTCTTATTCTTCAGATGCTTTATGGGCCAGAGCTGGTGCAGTGCTCTCTGTGCTGTGACGCAAGATCCAGGAGAATGTGTTTTGTGACTTGCTGCCTGCATAGGCTTGGGCAAAGCATCAAAACTTGCCCAGAGTAACTAGCCATCCACTGGGTACTCTCTGAATCCCTAACTCCTTGGATTTGCAATAAATAAATAAATAAAAATAAAAAAAAAWCAGCAACAACAACAACAAAAAAACAGAATAACTTAACAATAAAACAACAATATAACAATAAAAAATAATAACTTTCCAAATTTCCTCCTTTCAACACCCATTTCTGAACCCCGGTGAACCCCAGTGTAAAGCAATAGGGAGAAAAAAAAGGAAAGAAAAAAAAAAAGTGTTGTGTGCTCTATTAACCTGCTCCCTGAAGTGCCAACCTGTCTTATGATTTAGCTGCTGCACAACTTGCTCAGGTCAACGCAAAAGGCAAACTGTTATTTTGATCCCATATAAATGACCCCTGCTGAAGATGACTTCCCTTTTCCTCTCCCAATCTTAAACTTCTCCTGCTGGAAGATGTTGTGCTACAGTCAGGCCTATGAGCTGCCACGTGCTGTAAGATTTTTGGTGCCAGTCTTTTTTGGCCCCATGAGTCCCCCCACAGCAAGAGGATCCTTCCTTCCCCTCTTGCTTTGRCCAGGAAATAATAAGGCAAAAATACCCCAAACTGGAACCCAAACAAGCTCCATGTGCAAAACTTTCCAAGATGAAATATCTTTAAAAAATAAACAAGATTACTTGTTTAGTAACAGAACACTGCTGCAGCCCTTCCATCTCTAGCCAGTTTTGCCCACTGGTGACCAGCACATCACCTTCATTGACTATCCATCTCCTCAATGTCCTCCATGGCCTGGAAGGAGGCACGAGCCAGCAGGCAAATCCCCATCCCACAGAGGCCGAATTGCTGCTTCATGATCCAACTCGGAAAGGCCCAAAAAGGAGTTTCTGAACTCACTGTCTGGCCACAAACGACTTCATCGGGAGGTGACAGCAGCAGCTGTTTAATGACACGGAGCATCATCTCACTGCCGCCAGAGCCAGGACGGGGAGAACAAAACCGTTCSCCATAGGAAGCGGCGGGGCTGGAATTTACAGGCATGCAGTGTAATTACCTTTGCTGGAGCCACGCCAGCAAAATGTGGCCCAGAAAAAGAAAGAGAAGCATATTTTTAAGCTGTAAATGACCAGGTCTACATCTTTGGGAACAGAAAAAACAACCCAAACTAACTAGCTCCTGAAGCTTTCTGTCCCATCAGTGTTTTCACAGCTCCAAGTGTCTTAGCGAGAAGGTGATGTTTTACAGAGCATGAGCTGCTGCTGCTGCACCTCTTGGGACAGAACCACGAAACACTCATTTCCAACAGCAATATTACTGTAGTTATTGAGTAACCCACATCCACAACAGCTGCTGCTGGACGGGTACAACACGGGGCCCTGCTTAGCCTGCAACACAGAGCAACACTTTGGTCCTAGCTCGCAAYGCTGGTGCTGCACAAAGCTGGGGTTTTAGGAGGGATCCTTAACCCTGAGCACCCCAAGCCCTCTCCCCTACCCCTGCATCACCCATTGAGGTGGTACCAAAGAGCTGAGCAATTCTGCAGGCATCCAGCAGAGAGCAACAGCACTTGTTCACAGCCCTGTGCACTAACCCCGCGAGCAACTGATGGCTTCTGCAACCTGATACCCGACGCTGAGGTTTTCCTCTTGCTAATAAGTGCTAATTTAAGCACTGTWCACTAAATGCAAGAAGGGTTTTTCTCCTGTGCTGCAGAAACAGTCTGGGAAAACCCACTGCCACTTCAAGACGAGGGAATCACTTCCAGTGCATGGAGAAACAACGCAAAACCCTGGGGTGTTTTTCTGGTGGGTCAGTATCTATCTGCTGCTCAGGCTTGGCTGATTCTGCCTGTATTACACTGTGCAAATCAAGATGAATCACTGCTGCAAGAGGAATTGTTTGTTTCTGGACTGATTCCTAATTTAGTACATTGTGCTCACTTTTAAGACCTTAACTGCAAGTTTTACGGAGGGTAAGGAAGTAGCATCCCATCACAGGGGAGGATAGATTAGAAAATCTCAAAAAAATTATTTTCTCTACCTTGAAAATAATGTTCTGATGAGTAATAAATTTGGGCTAGGCGCCGGCAAAGTGGAGAGAAGAGGTCAGGAAAATGAGACACGGAGCCCAGCACGACCTCGGAAAAGCACTGAGCAAAACCCAGTATTAAACGACAAGCACACCTGAGGTAAAAGCCCTTTATTCTCTAGAGATCTCCATGCAGATTCCTCATTAGGATTACAAGAAGAAATCAGGGGGACAAAAGGAAATCACAATAGCAGCTGTGTTAAAATGCAATTACTTTTTCAGCCCGTGGTGCGCAGATTAGAGCGCAGATACTGCTTTGTGCAGAGGCTTCCCACCTTCCTAAAATGAACCCCATGCAGCCCGAAGGGGCTCGTCTTGCAGGTGCTGTGTCCCCTCCAGCCCCTCTTTGCCCATCAGCTCATTTGAGACCAGGAATTCACACTCAACTCCACATGCATACGGGTTCAAAACTACGAAATGACTGTTTTAATGCCTTTGGCAAGAATTCTGCTCAGGACTGCACACACAAGCAAAGGTAACTCTGCAAAAGCTTTGCACAGCTGCTGCACCGTGTCGTTAGAAAATCCTTACATTCAAATAAATCCTCAAAAATAAGCCTAGCAATATCCAGTGTGGTGGCTTCAAACTCTTTGCAACTTTGCAATTTTTTTAGGGAAATGATTCTTTAAGATGTTCAGTAATGATGTATCCATGCTATATGTACACAGACAAAAGTGGTCACACACATCATATATAATCTTGTATTTCTTCCTTCTATAAACACCCCCACCATACAAATAAACAAGAAAGAGACTGTGTGCACACAGCAAATGCAAACAGAGGCAGAGGTTTCATTT